TAAAGGATTCAGAGTACCATGATATTAGAAAGCCCTGCCTCTTTCTCGGTTGGTGAGGTTGTGTCTTCTAATGGTCTTTACTTCCCAGGAAAGCTGCTGGGACAGCTTCCTTCAATTTTTGTTTTATTGGAAATAGATTTTTTCATATGCTATATCTTGATTATAGTTTCTTCTCCCTCTACACCTCCCAGCTCCTCCCCACTTCCCCTCCCCTCTGGATCCACTCCCTTTCTGTCTCCCACTAGAAAAGAACAGGCTCCTATGAGATAACAACTAAACGTGACAAAATAAAATATAGAAGATAAAGCAAAACCATCATACTGAAGTTGGACACGGTCACCCAATGTGAGGGAAAAAGCCTCTAGAGCAGGCACAAGAGTCAGAGATGCGCTCATTCTCACAGTAAGGAGTCAGAGGACCTGGTGCTGACCTATGCAGACCCTGTGCTTGCTGCTTCAGTCTCTGTGAGCTCAAACGCACTTTGCCTTGTTGATTCAGAGGGCTTTGTTCTCCTGGTGTCCTCCATCACCTCTGGCTCGTATTCCCTGAGCTCTGAGGGTATTTGATGGAATCGTCGTCCTACTTAAACTCTCTCCCCATGCAATGTCTGGCTGTGAGTTTCTGAATCTGACCTCATCTGCTGCCAGAGGAGGCTTCTATGATGATGACTAAAAAAGGCACTGATCTATGAGTATAACAGAATATCATTAGAAATCAATTGATACTTTAAAAAAAAAAGACCAGTAGGGTTTGGTTTTGCCCTAGGTCTCTAGGCTATCTAGTCTCTGGCTCTTGGGTATGGGTTCCTTTCCATGGGGTGGACATTGGTTGTTTACTCCCACAAGTTCTGTGCCAACACTGGGCACCTCAGCTTCAGTGATGTCATCTGAGGCACATCAGTGGGTCATTCGTGCATCTCCTTCACATCCACTCAGAATCTCAGATTTCCAGAGTCAAGGACAGTGATCCCCAGACTTCTGATCAATTATAAACCAGCATTGTTATTAAGATGAGGGCTGGTGGATTTATATTCTCCAAAGAATAGCATTCAAAAGCACCAAGCTTCTATTAACACAGCAATATTTCATAAGATAAAGGGTATACCACACCCAAATTATGTGAGCACTACCAACTAAATAGCATATACATTTGACTATAAAATCATGTTTATTTATAAACTTAAAGATACGTATTTTAAAACAAGAAAGCATTGAACATTGTGGCTGACACATCAATGCATTGTTGTGTTAGTTATTTCTATGGCCACCTTGGCAACTCCTGACAAGGAAAGATTTTTGTCACTGTTTTAGAGGGTCACCATCCCTCACGGTGGAGAGGGCATGGCTGAGAATGCAAAGCGGCTCAGTTCCTGATACGAGCAGCGAGTAACAGTGATGTTATGGTGACTGGCAGGAAGCACAGACACTAGACAGAAATCAGGTCCAGTGACCTATTTCCATAAGTCAAGTCAATCTCCTAAAAACTCCTTCAGAATAATAGTCCACAAACCTGGTGATCCAGTATTCAAGACATGATCATATGGCAGTCATTTCAGATTCAAACCATCACATCTGTATTGTCATTGCTAGTGTTTAGTAAATGTTAGCCTTTTTCCCCTGATTTTTCCCTTCTCTTTCCTCAAGGTTTCCTGATCTCCTGTAGAGATCCTGTAGACTGTCGTGTGCCCTTCGAGGACAAGTCACTGGAGAATTGAATGACCAATAGACTGAGAAGACACAGGGTTCCTAGAGGTATCCTAGGGATTAAGGAAGATGTGGAGATGTAGTGAGATTGAAGACATTTCCATGGGGCTCACCAACCTTGCAAGTAAGGGGAGAGTACTGGGTGCAGGATCATTCCAGAACCTTGATAGATCAAGAGAGTTGTTTGGTTCCGGTTCTATGCAAGTGTGTGTGCTATTGATCTCGGTCTATTGATACAAATTTAAGGTAGATCTTGTTATATGTATATTTCTGCTCTTGATTAAGGTATTGTGATTGCACAGTTCATTTTAAAATTTAATGAATAATTAATAAATATTGGTTAATAGTCATCTACAATAGTCAAACTTTTAGACATGTTAGTTAGGTTTTCTAGATATACAGAGATATATTTCAGTTAGATAATTTTCAGATCTTTCAAAGACTACAGAATGTGGCATTTAAAATGTTTTAATAACTTAGGACTTTTCATGGCATGAGACACACCTGCTCCTGGCAGCACCAATCTACTTCAAGAGGATGATGGGCATCGAAGAGACTCCTTATGGAGTTTGTTAGCCATTTGGGCAAGAAACTGCTTTTGCCTGAACTGCTTGACTGGACAAGCAGGACCCACAGAAAAATGACTGTTGAAGTTGCCTAAAGAAGGTGAGACAGTCCTTCAGTGTTTGTTCTTCATGAAAGAGTCTGCAAGACATTCTGCAGGACACAAAAGAAAGTGACTGACAAACTGCCAATATAGGTGGAACTGTCTTTGAAATTTCTTGCTTCATGGAAAAGTCTGCTGGATACTATGGGCCTGTAGGCCGAAGATGAATGTCCCAACATTACAGAACAACTTTGGGTGACTCTCCAGGCAGCGAGATGTCTCTGTCATTTCTAGAGTTTTGGAAGTTTACTTAGGTAATATTATATTCTTCTGAGGTCTTTGATGGAGTTGAAGAATAGTTATAGTTTTACTTAGTTATGATAAAAGATAGATATAAATATTGTAACTGTAATTCTTGCTTGATACCTGTTTTGTTATATGTAATTTTTCTGTGTTAATGTTAAAACCTTTTTATTTAAACAGAAAAGGGGAAATGGTGTGGGAAAGAAACTGCTTTCGGCAAGTGGCTTAACAGAATATAGCCAGGCTGATATATATATATATATATATATATATATATATATATAGAGAGAGAGAGAGAGAGAGAGAGAGAGAGAGAGAAGGCAGAGTGAAAGAGATGCCATGTAGCCACCAGAGGGGAAAGATGTGAGCTGTTAGGTGGAACCTTGCCGGTAGGCTATGAGCCTCATGATAAAATATAAAATAATGAAAATGGGGTAATACTAGATGTAAGAGCTAGCTAGCAATACTCTTAAGTGATTGGCCAAGCACTGATTTAAATAATATAGTTTCTGAGTGATTATTTCTAGAGTCTGGGCAGCTGCGAAATGAACAAGCAGCCTCCCCCAACATGAGTGTGTTTGATGTGTGCATGCAGAGGCCATACATTGGCATCGGGTATCTTTCTCGATCACACTCCACTCTAGTTCTTGAATTAGTCTCTTGATGAACCTGGAGTTCAGGACTCAGGGAACTTCCTGTCTCCTTCCTGGAGTGCTGGGATTAAGGGACTATGCTGCTAGACCCAGCTTTTTAAGTGGATGCTGGGGATCCAAACTCAGGCTCACATGTTTGAACGGCAAGCACTCTGCTGACAGAGCCATCTGTCTAGCCTCCCTGTGGGAAGTTTTAATATCTCACTGATGTGGAGAACTCCCCACTCCACCCCCTAGTGTAATGTTTCGTACAGTGGTGTAAAATTTCTGGTGAAAACTGAGAGAGGGCTTATAGCTCTCACTGGGGTTGAACTAATATACCTAAGAAGCCAGCCCAGAAGCAGAGAGTGACATTGAACAAGGACGTTGTCTGAAACTTCTAGAAATGTCAGCTAGGTTGTTCAGCAAACATCTGTCTTATAGACGTCTTCCCATTTCAAACACCATTCTGGTCTCAGACCTGGCCCGAATAAGAAACATGAGATCAAATTGATTCCAAAGCTCTATACCTGGCCCAGTTGGGCCAGAAGTCTGGTTTAATTCCAGAATCACCCAGTCAAGGCAATCTTTGGCCTAAAATGTTCAAGGGCTAGAAACAATACCTGCACTGATGTCTCAGAGGCAACCTGAATCCTTGAGACTTCAAGTACTGGAAAAATCTGATCTCACTAGAAAAGGCTGTGTCCACGTGGAAAGACGACGTAAGCTATGATGTAATAATTGAGTAGTCAGAAAACATTGTTGCCAGGGAACACAAAGCTTTCCAGTTCTATTGGTTTGGCCCTGGTGCTACCCTGTGCAAAATCTCCCTCTTTCCTGTCTCTACATCTCCAGTTCTCCTCTCTGGGGTACCAGGGACCTGATCAGCTGCATTCTCAATGTTGTTGTACGGATTGGAAACCAAGGACTCAGTGCTCTGCCATGTGACCCCAACAACTTCTTTAGACTGTGCCAATGTAGTCAACCGCCTCAGTGATAATGCGAGGAAGGAGGGGGGCATGCACAACAGTTTGAGGGGAGTCCCTAAGACATCTTCCAATGTGCTGGCGAATTCATTTCGGCCCACCTACTCCTCTCAGACCTCTTAAGAAACTCCTTCTCACTTAAACTCGAATAAGCCCTGAAGTGTGAAAGTTAGTACCCTTCTTCCCGCGGTTCTCCTCGGTCCCTTCTCGGGGCCCACCCTCTGCGGAGGCAGAGCCGCTGGCCAGTGCGGGCTATAACCACGGCGGTCTCTGATGCAGTCAGTCCTCTGGCCGGCTTGGGCAGCGTCCCAACCGCCCGCGCTCGGGCTGTCCGCCGCGATGCCCTGCAGGGGAGGCAGCGACACACTGCGGGACGAAGGGGCGGACTGTCGCTGCAGCGGTACCCGGGCAGGGCCCACGGCCAGCGCGGGGGATGGGTGCGGAATAACGGACGGTTGCGCCAGGCCCCGTCCGCCCGGCTCCGGACTCCTCCGGGTCACCCCTCCGTCATCTCCCGCGCCCCCGGGAGGACGGACGCGCGGCGGACTGCGGGCGTGGGGGGCGCGGCGCTCGCTGGAAGCGCGCCGAGAGGCCGGAGACTGGCCCGCGTCCGCGAGTGCCCGGAGGCCCGCCGGCGGGAGCGCGCCCGCTCTGACGTCACGCGCCGCTCGCCCAATGAGCGCCGTTCCTGCGGGGAGGGCGCCGTTCCCGCCCTCGCCCGCCGCCGCCGGTCGCCGGCGCTCTGGCCGCCCCCGGGGGGGGGGGGGGGGGGGAGCGTCTGTGGAGGCGCGGGGCCGCGGCGGGCTAGGGCGCTGCACGGGAGCGGCGCCGGGCTGCGGACGACGCTCGGGACGGGCCCAAGGAGCCGCTCCTCCCCGACCGATGTCCGCAAGATGGAGGCGGCGGGGGCGACGGCGTGAGGAGGGCGGCGCGGAGAGCGCGGGAGCAGGCCGGCGGGCGGCGGGGGCGGCGGGATGGGGCTGCTGCTCATGATCCTGGCGTCGGCCGTGCTGGGCTCGTTCCTCACGCTGCTCGCACAGTTCCTGCTGCTCTACCGCAGACGGCCCGAGCCGCGGGCGGACGAGGCGGCCCGCGCGGGCGACGGCTTCCGCTATCTCAAGCCGGTGCCGGGCCTGCCCCTTAGGGAGTACCTCTATGGCGGCGGCTCGGAGGAGCCCGCGGCCGGGTCGTCCGAGGCCACCCCGACCCCCGACAGCCCGGCCCCACCGACGCGGGAGACCTGCTACTTCCTCAACGCCACCATCCTGTTCCTGTTCCGGGAGCTGCGGGACACGGCGCTCGCCCGCCGCTGGGTCACCAAGAAGATCAAGGTGGAGTTCGAGGAGCTGCTGCAGACCAAGACGGCCGGCCGCCTGCTGGAGGGGCTGAGTCTGCGCGACGTGTTCCTGGGCGACACGGTGCCCTTCATCAAGACCATCCGCCTGGTGCGGCCCGTGGTGGCCTCGGGCACCAGCGAGCCCGACGGCCCCGACGGGGACGCGCTGCCCGCCACCTGCCCCGAGGAGCTGGCCTTCGAGGCGGAGGTGGAGTACGACGGCGGGTTCCACCTGGCCATCGACGTGGACCTAGTGTTCGGCAAGTCCGCCTACTTGTTCGTCAAGCTGTCGCGGGTGGTGGGCCGGCTGCGTTTCGTCCTCACCCGCGTGCCCTTCACCCACTGGTTCTTCTCCTTCGTGGAGGACCCGCTGATTGACTTTGAGGTGCGCTCCCAGTTCGAGGGCCGGCCCATGCCCCAGCTCACCTCCATTATCGTCAACCAGCTCAAGAAGATCATCAAGCGCAAGCACACCCTGCCCAGTTACAAGATCAGGTGAGGGACGGGCGGGCGGTCAGGGCAGCTATAGCTGCCCGGGGGCGGTGGCCGGAGAAGGGCAAGGCCCAGCGCAGCCCTGGTCTGCAGTGCGCTTCCTTCCTGGACAGGGGCCCCTAGGGAAGGACCAGCGTGTAGTGGACGTTTCCCGTGCTGCCCAAGGCAGCGGTGGGAGCGGGTAGCTCTACCCTGGCGGCTCAGTGCCTCCTTTCCTCTTGGGCCCCCCGGGGATTGTTGGGACACACTTGTCTGTGGTTGCTGCATCCTGGGAGCGGCTGCTGTGTGGCTGTCTTTTGCAGCATCTCCTGGACCACGTGGAGTTGTTGTTCCTGCACACACTGCAGGCCTGAAGGGTGTGCTCACAGCGCAGGTCTGGTCTGTGTGCACAGGCTTTAGTGTCTTCACAGCTCTCGGGGCAAAGGCAGGGGTTGTTGCAGAAGGAGGTGACTTAAGAGTTGAGTTCTGTGCCTGGCGGTTTTCTCTATAGATTTGGAGTATCTGTCATCTGCCCTTGGGAAGTAGGTTCTGCACCACAGACAGACCCAGATTCCACTTCTCAGGTGTCTATTCCCTGCCGCTGGTCCTCACCCAAGTCATCTTGAGGGTCGTACTTTGACGATAGTCATTTTGAGTTGTTTAAAGTCCCTCTGTGTGTGGTGACCTGATTTTATGTGATACATTGTTTTGAGGTTTTTTTTTACTGACATGGAAGTGGAAGGGAAATGAAAATTTGGAGGATCAGAGGCTTCATATGTGGGTCTTGGAAGGCTTGTTTGAGTAGAAAGGCTCATGTTTCTTTTTAAGAAACCAACTTTTAAACTTTTCTATCCGTTAATGTGTTCACTGAGTTGAACGTTTAGATTTTGGTCTGCCCTGTGAAGTTACCTCGTGTGTTCTTACATGACTACTGTCCTTTAGTGGAGAGTAAATGCCCCTTGACGTGAGAGCTCTACCACAGACAGTCTCGAGCCACGTAATCCCGAAATAGTGCAGATTTAGAATGAATTTTTGATTTGTGAAGCTTCGACTTTACTGGTTATGGTTTGTTAAACTAATAGAATGAACGCTGTTGGGCGGCGAGAGAGCTGCTGTATGGGGCACATGTTCTAGGGCATTTGCAGGGGTGGTGCCCTGGTCATGGACAGTGCAGGATGGCCAGTTCTTTAAAGCAGAGACAGTTTACGAAACCTACTTTTACGCGGTTACATTATGAGTTGTAGTTTTTAAGCAGTGATGTGTTTATAGTAGTGTGTTGCTAAGAAAGTCATAAACAAAAGTTACAAGTTCTGATAATTCATTGGTCGACCAGAAGCTACTACGGAGTGCATTGCTCATAAGAAAGTTTTGGACATTTACTATGTCCTTCTTACCATTCTCAGTGCTTGCGATTTAGTACTGATCAGAAATAAAGACTGCCACCACCTTCATAAAGTTTAGAGTTTAGTGAGAATTGCATTGTCCGCTCAATAACATTTACACCAGGGTGGAGTTGGTGGAGGGTTGAAATGACTAGGGAGCTGCTTTTAGATTAGAATGGAAATGCGAGGGGGAAGTGAGCACACTTCCACGTCTCCAGACGCGTGCTACACTGCTGATGTGGTGGGGCTGACCATCTAAAAGGGTGAATTACAACCCGTCTAGACATGCCATTCTTACAAAGAGGACGTAACTAGTATTCATCCTGATTTATTGAAGAGAAGAAGCGCGCAGTAGTTGGACAACTTGCTCTACTCGGGTCAGCTGTCAGGTGAAGCTCAGCTTGGATAAAGTGAGGCTATCTTGTTAATTCTTTGTAATCTAAAGGAATTTATTTCAACTTCATTTACTCTTTACATTTCTTGGACTGGGAATGAGCCCCAATAAATGCTTATCAGTTTAAATTTTTGCTCTCTGCTTACAAAAACTTGTACATCATTCTGATTAAATGAAGAGAAATACGCAAAAAGTTTCCTTTGTTTTACGAATTAAAAATGACATTTTACACAGCCCAAACCTTTAACCCTAAATCCAGAACTAAGTCCCATAAGTGCATCAGAATCACTCCATTTAATTATCTTGATTATATGTAATGCCAAAAATATATAATGGCTCTCAAAGCAGAACAAATTAGCAAATGGCGAGGTTGTCTTCTTTGGGCACGCAGAGTGTTGATCTTGATGACTGTTAATGGTTCTAGGGGTGGCAGCTGGAACCTGGAGTCTGCTGGGAAAGGGTTCAGATAATGTGCCTCAGCTTCAGTAGTTCCACATACCCCCTTTCTTGTTCTTAAATGATTTTTCCCTCAAAGTATGGTATCAGAACAGTAGGTTAGATATTTTTCTCAATTAATCCTGAACTGAGAGTAAAATGTAGCTATGAAACTTCCAACCTGACTTAAACTGGAAGTTTTGAGAGGGTCTTTTAAAGTTACATTGTAAGGCTGAGTCTTCAGGTGTTGCTCTACACAGCATTTCTGTTTTAATCCCCCAGATTGTGTTTATCCGTTTGAACATCTAATCTTCTTAGTAAGAGCTAAAAGAGTAAAGTATTTTGAGTCTGGTTCTTTGATGCTTTAATTATTATATAACAAGTGTCTTGTTGATGAACATAGCTGTTCTTTCTAAACCTTTTTTTTTTTTTTATTTTCTTTTTCCATGTTGCTGAAATGAAGTAGCCCGTCAGTTACAACTGCCAGGTCCCAGTGTTTGACCTGGAAATAATCAAGCTTCCCTAAGAACTCAGATGCTTAAATTTTACCCAACGAATGCAGTCAGTTTATAAAACATTAGGATTTTTTAAAAAATGAATTGTAATATGCTGAAATTTGTTCTCTATTGCATTAAAGTTAGGAGTTGTTTCTTAATTCATCCCCCTGATTTTAATTTTTTTTCTTAAAACACGTACTTTAAAATAGTGCATAAAGTAGAAATCTTTAAAACTTTTAACTTCTAATTTCATCTTATCATTGGTGCTTTCTGGTACATGGAGAGTCTGTCTTCCCTCTGAAGTCAGGGTTACGGTCCAGGGTGGCAGGGCAGGGATATCTGCGGCTTGGAAGTCACATATTTTAGATTCTTACTAATGCTTTAATGCAGTTCTTCATGTAGTGGGGACCCCCGCCCATTAAAACTGTTTTTATTGCTGCTTCATAACTGTAATTTTGGCACTGTTGTGAATGGTGATGTGAGTATCTGTTTGCCAATGATTTTAGGCAACCCTAGTAAAAAGGTTGTTTGATTCCTCAAAGGGGTCTTGACCCACAGGTTGAGTGTTGGCAGAGGTTTTCTGTCCTTCCCGGTCCTGCAGCATTTATAAACAAATATCTTAGCAGCTGTTGCTTCTTCCTCAGCATTCAAACAATTCAAAGAGAGCATAATAGCACACAGTATCCAGACTCTCTGTGTATTTTTCATCTTTACGTGGCTTTACTTTAACCTCTATTTATTTTTATTTTTTGGCTTTTTGAAACAGGCTTTCTCTGTTTATCTTTGGCTGTCCCGGAATTCACTTGGTAGACCAGGTTGTCCTTGAACTCACAGAGGTCCAGTGTTGGGATTAAAGGTCTGTGCCACCACACCCAAACCAACTACTTTCTCTCTTATTTTAAGGACTTTATCCTTTTCCTTTGTCTTCCAAGCCTACATATATTTTTAAACACACTTTGAACCATTTATAGGTTTTCTTTGCCTTTGAATCTATCTTTACTGTATATCTTTTTCTGACTACACAAGTCTTTAATTTGCTAAGCAATAAGGCTAGGATTAAAGCCAGGTTTTTGATGGCTGAATCCAGTCCATTCCGTAGCTTTCTGAGATTCCAGCCTCACGGTGGAGGTACCACCCGGAGCTGTGTTTATTGCCACAACTTTACTGCGTTTAAAGGTCCCTGCCACCACCAAAAAGGATGCGGTCAGCTTTCCATCAACACCATTTAAGTGTTTCGTGGCAGGACTTCTTAAAAAAGCTGCAAGGTTTTGCATCTAAAGCTGAGTCAAGAAGCCTCTCTTGAGAGTGCTTGCCTCTAGCAGGCAGAGCAAACCAGAGAAATTGCTGCTACCAAGAAGCGATGCTTAACTCTGTTCCAAGCTCTCTCAGGTTTTCTGTGGATGTACTTGTCCACACCTTGGGCACCATCCTGTTGACCAAGATTTCTGTTGACAGTTGAGAACTACTGTTTTAGCGTGTTCTTTGCTTGTAACCAAAACTAGTTGCTTAAGGGAAGGATAAATTCAGTTTGTAGGCATTGTTTATCTGGCCTGTACTAGTTTCCTAATGTTAAAGGTAGGAGGTTTTTTTGTTTTGTTTTGTTTTTGAAGTCAGTTTCTGGCTTCTGATTTTCACGATTTCCATATCTGCACTTCTCATCACAACAGAAGGAAAGGAAATGTAGTAGCTCCAGGGTGAAATTTGTGTGTAAACTGTCCTGTACTTCCTAGTCCCTGCTCACCTGTCCCCTCTGAGCTGGCATCTGCCTGGTTTGGAGTCATGTGCCTGTGAGACCCTTCCTGGAATGCTTGCTGGTGAGACTTGAAGGTGGGCGATGTTTTCACTTTTTCTAAACTTTTTAAAAGAGCTGCCATTGAGCAATTTTATTTTTATTAAAGAGTCTCTATAATGTTGAATTTTAAAAAGTCATTCTGCTGCAAATTAAAAACCTTAAAATATTTCCATTTGATGTGTTGAGTAGTAATAGTAAATAGTAGTGTCTGCCTTTTGTTAGAAACTGTTTTACTTGAGTGGATTTGGTCAATAATTAAACAATTTTCAGCTACAAAAGAAGAAATAGATACTTAATTGGTATTATATTTTAATTTATTGTATATGGAACACATGGGGAAATCATTTGTAGGTATAAAATATCTTTTGGAATCTAAATGTTGTAACTGATTATTTCATCCTATTTTTTTTATTCCTGTAAACATTCTGAAATATATTTGTAGAAAATTTTCACATATCCTCAGTGACTGGAAAGCAAAGAAGACCACTATTTTATCTCCGCTAATGTTGAGGGATAGGGCAGTA